AGAGAGAGAGAGAGAGAGAGAGAGAGAGAGAGAGAGAGAGAGAGAGAGAGAGAGAGGATCGTTGGAACCTTATTGAAAGTCTGGTTGGTTCCTTGTTCTTTGATGTGTGATTGAATTGTCTCTTAGCTGGTCCGCGGAAATATGATTATCAACAAGTTTCAGGATGTGACGCTGGATCTGGATCGCTGCTTGCAGCTTATTCCTCTGGTCAACCTTAAGGTGTCCGACGACGTGCGCACACAGGTAAGACGATCTTCCCCTTACCCAAGATATCACTTGGACATTTTCTACATTGACACTGCAGACGAGTCACGATGGTGGACCCTCCGCGTGTGTGTGTGTGTGTGTGTGTGTGTGTGTGTGTGGGTGGGTGTGACAGAGCGAGCGAGCGAGAGAGAGAGAGAGAGAGAGAGAGAGAGAGAGAGAGAGAGAGAGAGAGAGAGAGAGAGAGGAATAGTGACAACCTGTTGAGAGAAGATTTGGTATGCTCGCTTTCCTACGGGATTGATTTTGGTGGTTTTCAGTATGGTTCTCCATGTCCCATCTAAAATTAGCACCCCTTTCCCCCGTCGACGTTTCGTTATTCGAGACTTACGCAGAACTTTGTCATTGCCGCTGCTCTCCCTCTGTCTCTCTCTCTCTGTCTGTGTCTCTCTGTCTCTGTCTGTTTGTCCGTTTCTCCCCACCTGGGGTCCGTATGTCTCCCGTTCTTTGCCTTCCTGTACCAGGCTATGGCCCTCCTTTCGTTCGCTCTCGTTGTCTCTCGCTCGACCTCTATTCATCTCCCTCTCTCTCCCTCTCTCTCTCTCTCTCTCTCTTTCTCCCCCACCCCCTCTCTCTCTCTCCCTCCCCCCCTTTCCCCGGCCCCCCACCGTCTGTCTGTGTCCCCTTATCTTCCTTCCTGTAACACGCTGTTACGCCCACTTCCGTTTTCTCTCGGACGCCATCAGACTGACGTATACCAGTTCCTTGTGCAAACTGCTCTCTCTCTCTCTCTCTGTCTCTGTCTCTGTCTCTGTCTCTGTCTCTGTCTCTCTGTCTCTCTCTCTCGCGCGCGCGCGCGTGCGTTTGCGACTGTCCATCTCAACTTCTCTCCCTCCCGCAACACGCTGCCATGCCCTCTGCCGCTTCCTCTCGCCACGTGTCGCTCGACCTTCTCCTCTGGCACGTCGTCAGGCTGTCAAACACCAGACAGAAATTTCGTGAATTCTTCGGTCCTTTCTTGGAGCGCCATTGGCGCCATCTTGTTTGCCAGATGTTTCACGCCTTGGACGAGGACGCTGGTGTGCGAGACCGGTGTCTTTTTTTCTCTATGCGACACACACCAGCGTCTTTCCGAGTTTGGGCGCGCTTAAGAATCTGGTGTGCTAAAGTAATTCCTTTTGGAGTTTCCGCGAACGATGTTGAGACTCTTGAGGACGACGAGTGTCGCCGTAAGATCTGATTGTCTGTGCGACAAATGAGGTGGTCCAGTGTGCCATGTGATGCACACCCAACATCCCAGGCAATGGAGACCTTCACAAGCGCGCACACACACACACACACACACACACACACACACACACACACACACACACACACACACACACACANAGAGAGAGAGAGAGAGAGAGAGAGAGAGAGAGAGAGAGAGAGAGAGAGAGAGAGAGAGAGAGAGAGAGAGAGAGAGAGAGATTGGTCAGGCCATTTTGCTGCTGCTGAAGTGAGACTACTGGACGCAAGAAACTATGTGGGTTGCCTGAGGCTTTTCGATGTCAGTGTGGCATGTATCTTCGGCTATAAAGTGTAATCAGCGTTTCTTTGTCAGGCGTATACTGCAACGGTTCAGCCCTTTCACCGTCTTCGCTTTTCTTCCTTTCCATTTTCTTCTGATTGTTTCTCTAGGCATCGAAATCGAGATGATCGCGAGTAATTACCATGTTGGTGGTTACTCATATGTTGAATGAAAGAGGAGTGCAATGCCGATCTCTCTCTTTTTTTTTTTTTTTTTTAACGGGTTTGCAATGCAGAGTGGAGCCAAAGGTGCAACGGGAAGCAGAGGCCCCTCTTGCTTTGCAGGCGCTCGCAAGAGATCACTTTTTCGAAGTAATGATGCGCCGCAGCCTTGGTGTGTTAATGACAAGCAGAGCCGTTCTTTGGCGCAAGGGAAAGGACGCTTCCGCAATCGTAATAATCGTTTTGTCGATGATCCCTTGGGCGTTGAAAACCGGCTCGCCGGTGCATGCGGCCTAACTGCCCTAGCGCCCTCCCGGGAACACAACTCACCCTTTTTTTCTTTTCTTTTTTTTCTTCATATGATTGTATCGACTTTTACCTTCTTTCCACCCCCACGGCCCCCCAAAAGAAAAACTTTTACCTTCTTTACAGTGACGATTCGGATGCGTTATGGCCATCATCATCGGAGCAGTACGGGGGCATGGTCCCACTTGCACGGAATAAGAGATTCTGGCCGTTGATCTTTGCCATCTACGGTCAGTATCGCTTAAGTGGGACCTAGCCCCGGGTGGGCAGCATGAGGAATATAGGACGCAGTTTTGAAGGATTTTTTTTTTTTTTTTTTTTTTTTTTTTAAGGAAAACCGAGCCATTCCATTATTGGCGGGAAATTCGGGTCCGGCGTCCCGCACATATAATCCACAGCCATATGGAGCTGAGCAAGTCTCTCTCGGCGAAGCCCATCCCCGCGGTTGGGAAGGATTTCTTCTCTTCTAGTAACACCCTTCGTTTTTTTTTTTTTTTAATCATCGATTCAATAACACCGTTTCTGTTCGTTGTCCTCATCTCGATTGTTCAGCCACATTCGCCGGGTGTCCTCTTTATTGTCACCTGGGACACTCAAGAATTTTATGCCGTCTGTATTCCAAGTGCTTCAAAATTTTGACCCGAATTTTTTTTTTTTTTTTTTTTTTTTTTTTTTTTTTTTTTTTTTTTTTTTTTTAAGGCACAAGTTTCCATCCATTTCACGGAGGGGCAGTGTGGTTTTATCAGGAATTTTTGGCCGCCCCTATATCAAGTATTGGGTCCGGTTATGTTCCTCGGACAAAAATATTCTCTACGGAAAAAAGATGGCACGGACACCTTCTTTCGTGCGCGATGTTCCACTCTTCTTTTTCTTTTTTCCGTGGTAGTCCAAGGTGACTCTGTCATACTCAACTTCTGTCCTGTACTTGGTAGATGGCAGTGGGCAAAATCAGGCACTACCTTCTTCCCCCAAACACAGCGGATCCCGATTATCTATAAAATATTAAAATCCGTCTTTCCAGTCCATATTTTGTCATGATGAGGGTGCATTGTGCTCGGGGGAAGACGGCACTAATGTCCAGGTATGTTTGTGTGAGGTTCAGTGTTATTCAGGTGTAGGCCCTGAGACGTCTAGACCGGAACATGCGGGGCACCAGTAAACAGTCGATCAAAACAGGTCCACCCCCCACAAATGTTATTATTTGGTTGGGGGTTGGGGACGATGAAAAGGGAGCCGCAGCTACTGGCAAAATGCTCGGTCTTTGCGTTAGCCGGGCCCCCCCACCGGCGGCCCCACCCCTTCCTTGACCACCACGGTTGGGGGGGGTTGGGGGGGATGGGTGGGGTGGGGCAACATGCATCCCCTCTGATGGCTGGAGGGAGACAACAAAGCTATGTTCGCAGGGGTCCACTGTATAAGCCTTAGGAGTAGTGGTAGGTAGGTAGTGAAGGTGAATTGAAA